AACACTCCCCCTCAAGCTTGGCTGTAGATATCAATAAGCCTAAGCTTGCCTACAAAATACTCGAACGTTGGTCCAGAAAGTCCTTTGGTGAGCATATCCACAACTTGTTGTCCTGTAGGAATGTACTCAATGCTGATGATTCCCTTCTCTAGCTTTTCAGTAATAAAGTGTCTATCCACCCCACATGTTTGGTTCTATCATGATGGACTGGATTGTGTGCTATGCTGATAGTAGCTTTGTCATCACAATAGAGCTGCATAGGAAACTCACAACTGATCTTCAACTCTTCTAGCAACCGTTTCAACCAAATTGCTTCGCAGATGCCATGAGCCATGGCTCTGTATTCAGCTTCAGCGCTACTTCTTGCTACTACGGACTGTTTTTTTACTGCGCCAAGTCACCAAGTTCCCCCAAAGGCGTGTGCAACATCCGGATGTTGATTTCCTATCTTCGACAGATCCAGCCCAATCGGCATCAGTGAAGATTTCCACACCTGTTTTCTTCTTTTCCAAAAAATAATCCTCTTCCCGGAGTCTTTTTGAGATATCTCAATATCCGATAAATAGCTTCGAAGTGTCCTTGGCGCGGTGAATACATTTGTTGGCTTACCACACTAACTGCAAAGGCGATGTCCGGTCTTGTATGTGAGAGGTATATCAGTTTTCCCACTAGCCGTTGATATCTTTCTCTATCAGCCATCTCTCCACCAATTGCTTTTGCCTTGCCTCCTTGTTCAATTGGAGTTTCTATCGGTTTGCACCCTAGCATACCCATTTCTTGCAATAGGTCTAGTGTATACTTCCTTTGTGATATGGAGATCCCACTTTTACTTCTTGCAACTTCCATTCCCAAGAAATATCTCAGCGTATTGAGATCTTTAACTTCAAACTCCTCAGCCATCAACCTTTTAATTCTCGTCATTTCTTCAAAGTTGTCCCCAGTAAGTATTATACCATCTACATATACTATTAGGACTGAGATCTTTTCATCTGATGAGTGCTTAACAAACAACGTGTGATCGGTTTGTCCTTGTGAGTATCCGTGGCTTTTGATCACCTTTGAAAATCTATCAAACCATGCGCGCGGAGACTGTTTCAGTCCATATAGTGATTTCTTCAGCTTGCACACCATCTTGTTTCTCTTACCTTCTTCAAACCCGGGTGGTAAGCTCATATACACTTCTTCCTCCAATTCACCATTTAAAAAGGCATTCTTCACGTCAAGTTGAACTAGAGGCCAATCCAGATTTACCGCTAATGATAAGAGGACTCTTATTGTGTTGAACTTTGCAACTGGGGCAAATGTCTCAGTGTAGTCGATTCCATAAGTTTGTGTTGAACCTTTTGCAACGAGCCGTGCTTTGTACCTTTCTATTGATCCATCCGGCTTGAATTTGACAGTGAATACTCATTTGCATCCGACCACACTCTTTGCCTTGTGGTAGTTCAACCACACTCCATGTGTTATTTTTCTCGAGCGCTTGCATCTCTTCAAGTACTGCGTTTTTCCATTCAGGAACAGCTAGAGCTTCTTCTATTGACCTAGGAATATTGACACTAGACAACTTTGTGGTGAAGGCACGGAAACATGGAGACAAACTATCATATGACACAAATTTGGATATGGGATGTTATGTACATGTTCTAACACCTTTCCTATGGGCAATTGGTATATCTAGCGTTTCACAAGTGTCTTCAGAATTACCTAGATCTGAGGAAGTAGTTCCTAGCATTGGTTCGGATTCTGGATAGTGCATGGTGTTCATAAGGGGCCTGTTTCCTTGAGAATGTTTTTTCCGAGAGTAAACACGTAGCACTTGTTGATTTGGTCCACTGAGGTCTCTTCTTGTTTCTGTTTCACGAACCTGTACTTGTGTTTGCTGTGGCATATTTTCAGAGGGTGGTATGATATTGGAAGTGGTAAGGTCGGGTGTGGTGGGTGTAGTTGCAACTGTTTCAATTGCAGTCTCGTGAAACAGAAACATGGCATGTCTTCAAAGAAGGTGACATCACGTGAGATAAACATTTTCTTTTGCTTAGGGCAGTAGCATCGGTATCCTTTCTAGGTAGGAGAATAGCCAAGAAAGATAGTCTTAATTGCTTGAGGGTCAAGTTTAGTTCGGTTTTGGGGATGAATATGGACAAAAGTAGTGCAGTCAAACGTCTTGAGCGGAAGGTTATTTATGGTTTTAAGATGTGGATAGGTCTTTTTGAGCTGGGATAATGGGGAATGAAATTTTAAGGTGCAGGTAGGTAGGCGGTTTATGAGAAACGCAGCAGTTAAGATAGCATCTCCCCATAGGCATTTGGGAACATTCGTTGTAAACATGAGTGCGCGAGCTACTTCCCATAAGTGCATGTTTTTCCTTTCCGATACTCCGTTTTGCTGCGGGGTATCAACCCATGAACTTTGATGAATGATTCCTTGTTGTAGCAAGTACTCTCCCAAGATAGACTGAAAGTATTCTCTCTCATTATCTGTTCTCAATACACATACCTTTTTCTGAAACTGGGTTTGGATCATGTTAGTGAAATTACGAAACACTTAGCAGGTTGCTAATTTTTCTCGAAGAAGGTATACCCAAGTTGTTCGTGTGTGATCATCAATAAATGTCACAAACCGTCTATTTCCATTTGTGGTGGTAATTCTTGACGGTCCCCAGATATCACTATGAATTAAAGCAAATGGGCTAGAGGGCATATAAGGTTTGGGAGAAAATGGTACCCGGGTGTGTTTCACATATTGACAAATATCACAATGAAAAGAAACAATACTTTTATTCTTAAATAAGGGTGGTAATAAATGTTTTAAATATAAAAAATTAAGGTGGCCAAGTCTGTGATGCCACAACATTATTTCCCTATTACTAGAAACAGAAACTGATGAAACTCCAGATGCAAATGCTTGTTGACTCTCACTCTATGTCCTCGAGGTAAAAAAGCCCCTTATGAACTCTAGCACTGCCAATCGTCTTCCCCGATGATAAGTCCTGAAAATAACATTTATAATGGTGAAAAATAACAACACAGTTATTATCACGAGTGAGTTTACTTATGGATAACAAATTGCATCTTAAGGTAGGAACATGAAGAACCGACTCAAGTGTTAAGTCTTTGGATACTTGAATTGACCCTATTCTGGCAACCGAAGATAAGGATCCATCTGCAATTTTTACTTTAACAGGACTATGACTAGGGGTATAAGAGAGAAAAAAATCAAAGACACCTGTCATGTGGTCGGAGGCGCCAGAATCAATGATCCATGGTTCCTTAGAGTGGAAGGTAGACTTAAAGGATGAGTGAAAATTACCAATCTAGGCTACAGAACAGGATCCGGGATTTGGAGTTGACGAGGATGAGGCAGGTGATTGGTTGAGGAGGCGATAGAGTTGCTCAATCTGTTCTTTGCTAAACAGAAGGATTTCTGGTTTTCTATTGCTGCTCCTTTGTCTTGGTTTGATTGAGTTTGAAGCGCCCGTCCTTCATTCTGTCTTTGGGGAACCCAATTTGCGAGTTTACCATGAATTTTCCAACATGTGTCACGTGTATGTCCTTGTCGATTACAATGGTCACACCACATTCGTTCTCCTCTCCGTGGGCTTCTAGACTCACTGTTGTTCCTTATTGGTTGTGCAGTATTCCTGATTGCCAGAGCCGAGCCCTCTGTTGATGCTCCACCGGATGTTTCTTCCTCTGACAACATGACCTTCCGGCAATTCTCTTCTCTATGAACCTCGGCAAAGGCTTCTTCGGTTGTTGGGAATGGCATTCTGCTTAAAACACGGCCCGTGACTTCGTCAAGATCCCGATTCAATCCTGCAAGAAAATCAAATACCCGTTCTTTTTCAAGAATCTGTCTCTGCTTTACATTGCACGTAGGACAAACCGAATCTTCTTCCAGGAAAAGATCCAATTCCTGCTAATTGTCTTGCAAATCGGTGAAGTACTCGGTAACCGATTTGGTTCCTTGCTTCATCTCCTTCAGTTTTGTGCGAATTTTGAAAACCTGTGAGGCATTTCCAAGATCAGAATATGTTCTTTTTGCAGTATCTCATACGTCTTTAGCAGTAGGAAGAAAGAGATATCGGCGGCTGATCATGGGCTCCATGGAGTTGATAAGCCATGCGTGTACAATCGAGTTTTCGGCAAACCACTTTTTGTATGTAGAGTCGGTCGGTGTTGGAGCTTTAGCTTCACCACTGATGTATTCGAATTTTCCCCTGCCACAGATCACAATTTTTACTGACTGAGACCATTGAAGATAATTTTGTCCATTGAGTGTGAGCCGTAATTTGGAGAGAGTTATTGTCTCCACCTTGAAACGATGTGACGGACTGATCGGCGTGAGTTTTATCGGAGTTTCTAATTTGGAATCATCTCCACGTGAGGACCCCATCATGGCTGTTTTTGCCATTGAAATATTCAGAGTTCAAAGCTCTGATACCATGAACGCAGTTTAAATAAATCTGCCTTGCTTTATTAATCGAAAGAAAGTTCACTTAAATAGACTAGGGCTTGAACACCGAGTCCATTATCTTCTCTAAGATAATCTATCCTATTTGAATTCAAATACTAATTGATAATTCCTAATCTAAATAACCGGAAATAATAAACTAAATAATAAAGATAACTATTTGACTCATTCAACCTATCTCTAAAAGATCTTATCTACTAACAGAGTGAACCACTATAAATCCTTTGTGGTGATCTTATTTCAATTCTGATCTACGTTTAGAGTTATTTAATCCGTGCACAAATCACAAAAGCTTGTTATTAATCTGTTGATTAATTTTTACCGTCAATACATACCATTTAGAATCATAGGGCCAAAAGTTGGTTATTGAAGAAGTAAAAAGTCTACTCATCATAATCTGGCAGATACTTTTGAAGAATAAAAATTTTTGTACTATAACAACTTTTAAGATTGACCAAAACAGCAAACCATGAAAGCAAGATATCAAACATCAGAAAGCTTCATATTCATCCCGACATAGAACTAACCTTTCTTCAGTCGGAGGCCTCTTGTTCCCTTTCTTCTCATGGTTAACTCCGTTAGGTATGCCCTTCACAAGTTAGAAATGCAATAAGTCAATGTACTAGCAGAAGAGGAACAAATCGACGAGAACTAAGCTCGTGACAAAAAGGCCATACCATTCCCTCTTTCCACTTTATTGGGGTAGCTGTAATTTTTGTTCCTTCATCATGGAAGGTATAAGTCTTTGTAAGCTTCGTATCCTCAAAATAAGGACTGGGGCTGAAGTTCTGTAGAATTATAGAAGTAACACCAGGCCACTCAACATATCAAACGGTTGGAGCAAAGCAAAATCTATTCAAGCCAAAAAGCCATTCACAGAAAAGCCAACATAGAAACAAAGATAAACTCACAAATGAGATCGAGTAACCCGATTTCACATCTTTGAAATCCTCAACTTCTAAGGAAGTTAAATGCTTGAAAATCTGAAGAGAAAAAAAACAACATATGAACCCAAGATTATTATAACCCATACAGAGTAAACTGCAAAAAGAACTAATCAGACACCAAAAAGAACTTTCTTAACAAATAAAGCAAAATAAAAGAGAATCAAGAAAACCACTCTGGCAATTTCCTTGCTATTTAAAATGAAGCATGTAGCTACGAAATGTACAAACACAGGGAGCTTTTTACTGTAGTAAAAAGTTAGAATTGACTATTTCTGAGAGCTTTTTACTGTAGCAAAACTCGAATCGGTAAAATGAACGGGGCCATAATAACTGAACCCAAAAGAAAGTGCACTATAAACAAGGATATAAATTATGACTTTATAAATAACGGCGAACCTAAAAGTAAGAGAACCAATCTGCCAACTTCCTCAATTTTTAAAACGAAACAGGACAGCGAAGAAATTATACAAATGTTATCAACCGAACCCACAAAGAAAGAGCACTCCAAACAAGCTTATAAATAATAAATACATAATAACACATTTCAAGACCATGAAGTGATAAAAGGCCAACCTTCTGATCTTCATCGCTCAAAAGCTCACTAAGAGCAGGATGACTCAGAAACTGCAAAGAGTAACAAGGAAACCAAGCCATTATTAAACTATCCGCTAACAGAGAAGAAAGAAAAAAAAAAAAAGGCCCACAGTTCTTTCTAAAAGCACAAGAATAAATACAGGTCACTTACAGCAGTTAACCAAAAGTCAGGAATGGCTTTGGTGATATCATTCCGCTTATCATAGACTGGCTTCCGTATCTCATTATACTTCTGCTCCACCTCCAACACTTTATCACTAGCCTCCTCGTTAATCTGGGAAATTCAGATAAAACACTAGAATTTTAACACAATTATCTAAAAAGTTAATACTGCTCATAACAATATCACAGTACTGAAACTTAAAATCCTCTAAAATTACTCTTCCATCTTCAAAATAGAGCTATAAACCGTATACACATACACATTGAGGAATTTACTTCACAAAACGACCCAAAACCAAAAAAATTATGAGAAAAAAACAACTGTCAAGATTACAATTCTGAGAATTACAATTCAATCTCATCGCATTGAAAGCATGAGCGTCAAAAATCGCTTCAAATTTCCCAAATTCCCAACCAAATCAACAATTTAACTCCAAAAAAACAGGGTTTTTTTTCCCAAAATTATCCACCCAATAGGTAGAATTAAAAAGGTTTACATTTTTTTTTTAAATCATCGAAAAGCTTTGAAACAGAACTAGAAGAGAAGAAATCGAAGAGAAGAGAAGAGAGGAAAAAGGTAAAACCTTTTCGAGCTCATCTTGGATCTCCTGCAACTTCTCGATGGAGAGGACGAGCTTCTCGTCGATGGCGTCGGTGTTCTGGTCTTCGCTCTTGTCGGAGAGCTTCGGCTTTTTGCCCTTGTCTTCCACCATCTTCTTCTTCGTCTCGTCAGACAAAAACCCTAGTTTCAGATTCGCTAAAACCCTAGCTCTCTCTCTCTTCTCTCTCTCTCTCTTCGTGGGGATGAAATTGGAAGAGAGAGTGTGCCTGTGTCAGTGAGAGAGAACAAAAGGGTTAGGGTTTTGGTGAGTTTGAATCTCCTATAGAAGCATTAAAAGGGAAACTTTTGATGTCCAATCATATTGCGGCACGTCGGTATTGAAGGATATCTTCTCTCTTTACTCTAATTATATTGTAAGATTGAAGATTCGCCCAATTAGTATTTTAAAGAAATATCTGCGGCCTCCTCCCTTTTTCATTGTCATTTTTTTTCTGATGTAATTTTTTTATACGGCAATATAAGTTCTAATTTCTAAATGGGTGTTTTATAAGAACTTTTGGAGCTAAAAGAAAAGAAAAATTAAAATGTATTAACATTTTTCTTGCAGTACAAAAAATATAGAGATTGTTCTTTTAGAGTGTAACTTGAGTGTAGTTTTTGAGTTGAATTTGAGTTATAACTTGAGTTGAAGTTGTAACTTGAATAAAGTTGAGTAAAGTTGAATAAAGTTGGAACTTAAAAGAACGTAAACTTGAATAAAATTATAACTTGAGTTTAAACTTTTTATGAGTTTTATTGTAAAAGAACAACCCCATACTTTTTTTATTGTTCGAACTCATTTGCGGGATTATTAGGCTCTTACTAAGAATAAGACATATAGGAATGCTTAATCAAGAAAAAAAAATAGACATATAGAAAGAAAAGCATAATTCTATTTATAATTATGATCTAAAACGTATAAATAAAATAATGCATCAACTCTTATGTTTGAGTTTTTTTTTTTTTTGAAATGGTAATTGCATTTTAGTACAAACACTAATTCAAACATGAAATACCACAATGCATTTAGCGACTTAACCCTGACAACAAATCAAAACCACTAATAAGTTCGACTAAAACATTCAAGGGGGTAATATGTGTATGAAGTTTCAATAAGAGAGAATCGAAGACGCACGCAACTAATTGAGCACACAAATGACTCCAACAAAGCACTATAGTAAGTGGATAACACCAATTGATTAAGATCAATAAACCAAAAGCACCAAGACCTAACACAACTCCATAAAGTATAAAAATTTACCACCTAGACATAAAGACTACGCCATAAAGTGGGAATACCACCTCTGTTATTACAACGAAAAATCAACAAACACTACGGAACCATACTAACACTAAATGACAGAAATATCAACACCTTTATTTAATAAACACAAAACTTAAAATAAAAAGGATAAATCCCAAATGACCAACAGGATCTCAATGACTAGTCGACCACCATTGAAAGATTAACAAGAAAGCCGCCACACAATAAGTGAGTTAAGAAACATTGAAAAAGGTCAAGCCTCCAACGCGTGAGAAGTGAGAACCACGCAACGCCGCTCACCAATACCAATGAAGGAAGGTGCCTCACCCATGGAGTCATCGCCCTATAAGGACCAAAGCTTCCAAAACACAAAGACACCTTAGCACCAACACTCCCCCAATATGCGAGAAGAACCACAAGTTGACCACTCGTCCTCTCTGCCATATTCAACCGCTAAACTGACCTCCTCCAATAGAAAGCCATGTTAAGGGGGCCAAACCACAAAGGGCTCGGAGCCGCCGGCATAAGAACTCCAAAAACGGCAACCAAACCAATTTCAAAACAACCACCATCTCCCTCCCAAACCACGACCATGACGAGTTCTCACCAAAGGGAACCATGTTGCATTCTTTGGAGCACCCTTCCTTGAGGTTGGTAGTTTAGAGCCCGGCCTAAGGGCGGCGCCAGTCTCCAGCCGTTTGAAGTCTACTACTATGACATTGCAAGGAAAAGAGAAAAGAGAAGGAAAACGGCTAAGAATTTTTCATGCACGGAGCCATTAAGGCCTGAGTGGAGGAATTTTTTTGTTTTTAAACATCTTATAAACATAAGTGTGCATCATATTGTGTAGATGTATAATTAGCCCTCACTAAAATTAATCTAATAGCCTCCATTAAAGATATCATTTTCTCTAAAAGTCTAACACACAAAAAAACTGTAAACTCAATTTTCAATGGCCTTGATAATTAAATTAATATACAATATTTTCAAGGTATCAAAACCCGTCAGGGACAATTATTGTAGTGTATTAATGGTATTTATTTTCATTAAATTTTTTTAATTATTAGTTGTACTGCCAAATTTTTTTGGCTATGTCAATGGTTTTTTTTAATGCAATTAAGACGAATAGATGGTTTCGTGCAATTGATGCTCATATGTTTTATTCAAACGCTTATGTTTGAATTAAAACGACATGTCAAAATTACTTTTCAACACACTAAAGTTGCGTTTAGTATTATTTTTTACTCTCAAAATCAGCTTCTTCTTGCAGCAAAAGCTGATTTTAGTATTTGACAAATCTCTTCAAAAGTGCTTTTTGAAGAATCTACAGTCAAAATCAAAAGCAGCTCAAATGCAACTTTAACTTTTAGATTGTGCGGGAATCAGCATAGTACAATTAATGAAATTTTCATAATACTCATAATACCCCAAATGAAATTTAAAATTCACAATCTTCCCAATCTAAAATTCAGACACGTAATATAATATAATATAATAATAATATAATATAATATAATATAAT